CATGTAATGTCTTGTATCACCATGTAATTTCTTGTAGCTCCATGTAATGACGTGTATCACTATGTAATGACGTGTATCACTATGTAATGTCTTGTATCACCATGTAATGACGAGTATCACTATGAAATGTCTTGTATCACCGTGTAATGTCTTGTATCACCGTGTAATGTCTTGTATCACCATGTCATGTCTTGTATCACCATGTCATGTCTTGTATCACCATGTAATGTCTTGTATCGCCATGTAATGTCTTGTATCACCATGTTATGTCTTGTATCACCGTGTCATGTCCTGTATCACCGTGTAATGTCTTGTATCACCGTGTAATGTCTTGTATCACCATGTCATGTCTTGTAGCACCATGTAATGACGTATATCACCATGTCATGTCTTGTATCACCATGTAATGTCTTGTATCACTGTGTAATGTCGTGTATCACCGTTTACTGTCTTGTATCACTGTGTAATGTCGTGTATCACCATGTTATGTCTTGTATCACCATGTTATGTCGTGTATCACCATGTTATGTCGTGTATCACCATGTAATGTCTTGTATCACCATGTAATTTCTTGTATCACCATGTTATGTCTTGTATCACCATGTTATGTCGTGTATCACCATGTTATGTCTTGTATCACCATGTTATGTCTTGTATCACCATGTTATGTCTTGTATCACCATGTTATGTCTTGTATCACCATGTTATGTCTTGTATCACCATGTTATGTCTTGTATCACCATGTTATGTCTTGTATCACCATGTTATGTCTTGTATCACCATGTTATGTCTTGTATCACCATGTTATGTCTTGTATCACCATGTTATGTCTTGTATCACCATGTTATGTCTTGTATCACCATGTTATGTCTTGTATCACCATGTTATGTCTTGTATCACCATGTTATGTCTTGTATCACCATGTTATGTCTTGTATCACCATGTTATGTCTTGTATCACCATGTTATGTCTTGTATCACCATGTTATGTCTTGTATCACCATGTTATGTCTTGTATCACCATGTTATGTCTTGTATCACCATGTTATGTCTTGTATCACCATGTTATGTCTTGTATCACCATGTTATGTCTTGTATCACCATGTTATGTCTTGTATCACCATGTTATGTCTTGTATCACCATGTTATGTCTTGTATCACCATGTTATGTCTTGTATCACCATGTTATGTCTTGTATCACCATGTTATGTCTTGTATCACCATGTTATGTCTTGTATCACCATGTTATGTCTTGTATCACCATGTTATGTCTTGTATCACCATGTTATGTCTTGTATCACCATGTTATGTCTTGTATCACCATGTTATGTCTTGTATCACCATGTTATGTCTTGTATCACCATGTTATGTCTTGTATCACCATGTTATGTCTTGTATCACCATGTTATGTCTTGTATCACCATGTTATGTCTTGTATCACCATGTTATGTCTTGTATCACCATGTTATGTCTTGTATCACCATGTTATGTCTTGTATCACCATGTTATGTCTTGTATCACCATGTTATGTCTTGTATCACCATGTTATGTCTTGTATCACCATGTTATGTCTTGTATCACCATGTTATGTCTTGTATCACCATGTTATGTCTTGTATCACCATGTTATGTCTTGTATCACCATGTTATGTCTTGTATCACCATGTTATGTCTTGTATCACCATGTTATGTCTTGTATCACCATGTTATGTCTTGTATCACCATGTTATGTCTTGTATCACCATGTTATGTCTTGTATCACCATGTTATGTCTTGTATCACCATGTTATGTCTTGTATCACCATGTTATGTCTTGTATCACCATGTTATGTCTTGTATCACCATGTTATGTCTTGTATCACCATGTTATGTTTTGTATCACCATGTTATGTCTTGTATCACCATGTTATGTCTTGTATCACCATGTTATGTCTTGTATCACCATGTTATGTCTTGTATCACCATGTTATGTCTTGTATCACCATGTTATGTCTTGTATCACCATGTTATGTCTTGTATCACCATGTTATGTCTTGTATCACCATGTTATGTCTTGTATCACCATGTTATGTCTTGTATCACCATGTTATGTCTTGTATCACCATGTTATGTCTTGTATCACCATGTTATGTCTTGTATCACCATGTTATGTCTTGTATCACCATGTTATGTCTTGTATCACCATGTTATGTCTTGTATCACCATGTTATGTCTTGTATCACCATGTTATGTCTTGTATCACCATGTTATGTCTTGTATCACCATGTTATGTCTTGTATCACCATGTTATGTCTTGTATCACCATGTTATGTCTTGTATCACCATGTTATGTCTTGTATCACCATGTTATGTCTTGTATCACCATGTTATGTCTTGTATCACCATGTTATGTCTTGTATCACCATGTTATGTCTTGTATCACCATGTTATGTCTTGTATCACCATGTTATGTCTTGTATCACCATGTTATGTCTTGTATCACCATGTTATGTCTTGTATCACCATGTTATGTCTTGTATCACCATGTTATGTCTTGTATCACCATGTTATGTCTTGTATCACCATGTTATGTCTTGTATCACCATGTTATGTCTTGTATCACCATGTTATGTCTTGTATCACCATGTTATGTCTTGTATCACCATGTTATGTCTTGTATCACCATGTTATGTCTTGTATCACCATGTTATGTCTTGTATCACCATGTTATGTCTTGTATCACCATGTTATGTCTTGTATCACCATGTTATGTCTTGTATCACCATGTTATGTCTTGTATCACCATGTTATGTCTTGTATCACCATGTTATGTCTTGTATCACCATGTTATGTCTTGTATCACCATGTTATGTCTTGTATCACCATGTTATGTCTTGTATCACCATGTTATGTCTTGTATCACCATGTTATGTCTTGTATCACCATGTTATGTCTTGTATCACCATGTTATGTCTTGTATCACCATGTTATGTCTTGTATCACCATGTTATGTCTTGTATCACCATGTTATGTCTTGTATCACCATGTTATGTCTTGTATCACCATGTTATGTCTTGTATCACCATGTTATGTCTTGTATCACCATGTTATGTCTTGTATCACCATGTTATGTCTTGTATCACCATGTTATGTCTTGTATCACCATGTTATGTCTTGTATCACCATGTTATGTCTTGTATCACCATGTTATGTCTTGTATCACCATGTTATGTCTTGTATCACCATGTTATGTCTTGTATCACCATGTTATGTCTTGTATCACCATGTTATGTCTTGTATCACCATGTTATGTCTTGTATCACCATGTTATGTCTTGTATCACCATGTTATGTCTTGTATCACCATGTTATGTCTTGTATCACCATGTTATGTCTTGTATCACCATGTTATGTCTTGTATCACCATGTTATGTCTTGTATCACCATGTTATGTCTTGTATCACCATGTTATGTCTTGTATCACCATGTTATGTCTTGTATCACCATGTTATGTCTTGTATCACCATGTTATGTCTTGTATCACCATGTTATGTCTTGTATCACCATGTTATGTCTTGTATCACCATGTTATGTCTTGTATCACCATGTTATGTCTTGTATCACCATGTTATGTCTTGTATCACCATGTTATGTCTTGTATCACCATGTTATGTCTTGTATCACCATGTTATGTCTTGTATCACCATGTTATGTCTTGTATCACCATGTTATGTCTTGTATCACCATGTTATGTCTTGTATCACCATGTTATGTCTTGTATCACCATGTTATGTCTTGTATCACCATGTTATGTCTTGTATCACCATGTTATGTCTTGTATCACCATGTTATGTCTTGTATCACCATGTTATGTCTTGTATCACCATGTTATGTCTTGTATCACCATGTTATGTCTTGTATCACCATGTTATGTCTTGTATCACCATGTTATGTCTTGTATCACCATGTTATGTCTTGTATCACCATGTTATGTCTTGTATCACCATGTTATGTCTTGTATCACCATGTTATGTCTTGTATCACCATGTTATGTCTTGTATCACCATGTTATGTCTTGTATCACCATGTTATGTCTTGTATCACCATGTTATGTCTTGTATCACCATGTTATGTCTTGTATCACCATGTTATGTCTTGTATCACCATGTTATGTCTTGTATCACCATGTTATGTCTTGTATCACCATGTTATGTCTTGTATCACCATGTTATGTCTTGTATCACCATGTTATGTCTTGTATCACCATGTTATGTCTTGTATCACCATGTTATGTCTTGTATCACCATGTTATGTCTTGTATCACCATGTTATGTCTTGTATCACCATGTTATGTCTTGTATCACCATGTTATGTCTTGTATCACCATGTTATGTCTTGTATCACCATGTTATGTCTTGTATCACCATGTTATGTCTTGTATCACCATGTTATGTCTTGTATCACCATGTTATGTCTTGTATCACCATGTTATGTCTTGTATCACCATGTTATGTCTTGTATCACCATGTTATGTCTTGTATCACCATGTTATGTCTTGTATCACCATGTTATGTCTTGTATCACCATGTTATGTCTTGTATCACCATGTTATGTCTTGTATCACCATGTTATGTCTTGTATCACCATGTTATGTTTTGTATCACCATGTAATGTCTTGTATCACCATGTTATGTTTTGTATCACCATGTTATGTCGTGTATCACCATGTTATGTCGTGTATCACCATGTTATGTTTTGTATCACCATGTTATGTCTTGTGTCACCATGTAATGCCTTGTATCACCGTGCAATGTCTTGTATCACCATGATATATCGTGTTTTGACTAACCAAGATCCTGGTAAAAAGTGGATAGTAAATATTCATGCATTATGAGTATATCCCGGTAAAGTTGAATCAAGTACTATGTTTTACTGTGCAGCTGTAACACATAGCTAATATTTCAGACAGTTTTCTATAAATGTTGTTTTCACATTTGTTTTTAAACATTATAATACTTACGTACCAGTATCTGTCACGTCGCGAGACTGCATGACAATGTGATCATTAATCGGAACCATTCGGTATTGCAAGAAGAAAATATATCGGAAAAAGCCCGAGAGGTTTCCGACTGGGAGCGTTTACGTTGTAGTCATGATTAAAGAGCGACAACTCCTACAGGACATTTCGATTTTCGTTTTTTACGAAGGCAGATCATGAACATTAACATTGCTGATTAGGTCTTACGGATAGTACATGTATATATCAGTTCAGTGTAAATGTGTCAAAATGCTAATAAAGCACAATGATTCGATTTGGTTGTTTGCCTAAAGAATCTCCAAAAATATGTCAACACGAACACAAGTCATCGTGTAAAATCCCCTTGATTTTGGGTACAGTAAGGGACCGCAGATATGTGGGAATCCGATATTTGTTGTAAAATTCTATATCACTGCAATGAAACGTCTTCTTAAAATGAACATAATATTAATAAAGAGCAATGAACGGTGGATGGATTGAATATCCATGGCGAAATACCTTCCATTTTGGACACGGGTCTGCTGAAATAAAAGTCGCTATAGAAAAGTTTATAATTTACCTTTCGTTAATGCGAGGGCTGACAGGGGTGGGGTGGGGTTGGGACGCTTTCTTCCCACTCACACGCACGCACTCACGAAATCCTGTTTGAGGCTGATCGGGTGGCGCAGTGGATAGCGCACTCGGCTGGCACAGTGGATAGCGCACTCATTTATCATTAAGATTAGTCCGCTAAAACTGACCATAATCGCAGGCTCAAAAATTCTGATCGGTCGCCTGTTTATGGTCAGCTATCGACTGCTCTTTAAAATGCGGGGATTGTCTTCGAAATCTGGCGACAGCGATTGTGAGAGTTATACATGTTTGTCAGAGAAAATAATCAAATGTAAACATTGGTTACGCAGTGATCTTTTAGCAGACACAAACTAATAAGCTCGTTTGATTGGTATATATTTATCACAATAATTAGTAATAACAAAATTACTCTGATATTCTTAGCATTTGTCAGCATTATATTACGAAAACAACTCGATTGCGAGGAAAAGGTAAACTGGTACACGTGTTTTTGTTGTCAACAAGTCGATTTGACGGAAGAAATTCTGATTGGCCAATACATATTGATGTACGCAAGATGGCTGTCGATGTGAGCAGTCGAAAGCACTTCATTTTAATAAAACGATGTAGAGTCCATATTGTATCGAGTACGGACATGCCATCTAGTCAAGGGAGTGAGAAATGAATCAACTGAAATAAAGGTATGATTATTTTCTCTGACAAACATGTATAACTCTCACAATCGCTGTCGCCAGATTTCGAAGACAATCCCCGCATTTTAAAGAGCAGTCGATAGCTGACCATAAACAGGCGACCGATCAGAATTTTTGAGCCTGCGATTAAGGTCAGTTTTAGCGGACTACATTAAGATAGCCGGATTCCCCGACCTAACATGGAAAAGAACGAGTATATAGCCCAACTACGTGGATTTCTCTGCGTTCTCCATTATCATCCAACATTATGACTGATTATTATAAATTAAAAATAACTTTTGGGGGGATATTGCTTAAAAGTACAGTTTTCCTTGATCATTCCGGAAGTCTCGAATTCCGATATGTTGGCTCTACAGCCATTTTGTCTATTGGGACTTAATTTTGAATTATGTGACGTCATGTCACAATCATTTGATGACGTCGTAATAGGTCATGTAGGATCTCACATGAGTTTCCATTTAATACGAGATTTATGACACGAGTTTAAGAATTTTTCAATTTAGCGAGCCTCTGGCGAGCTAAAATGAAACATTCGTGACAAGTTTCATAAATTTCATATGAAATGAAAACAAGTGTAAGATATTTTTTATCACAGACTCAAGATTTGTGACATTTATTCGTGTAAAACGACAATTTTCATGCAACCTTGGAAGGCGTGCACGTCACAATTGAAACAATTGAAATGTTCCACCAATCCCAGGGTTGATAGGTCATATTGCATGGGTATGATCACTGGATAAACACAGTACATATTATATGATAAACAAACATATGACATGGGTGCATTCAATGAATAAAACAACTTCCTCTACCCTAATTAATACTTTAATCCCCCTCCCCAACTCACCAAATGTTATTCCATCAAGATCAATTAAAATAGACACATATGTAAGTATAAAAGTATCATTTATTTCAGAAATACGCACGGTTACACATAGCTTGTGAATTTCAAATATAATATAAAAAATTACAACAGTCAGTGTTTATAACTGATATCCTTACAGAACAAAATTGAATTTCTTCGCCATCGCCGGTTTTATAACTACCCAAACTAAATCCCGAACATTTCTCGGAAAAAGACGCGGAAATCAGACAAATAACTTCAAAACCAGAACTTATAAAAACGTTTGCAAAAATATACTACAGGTTTGCTATCAAAAATACAACACAGTTATAATTGAACTTATCCACTTACAAAAAAATATCAAGATAATCAGTTACGTTTGCAAAGAAAATGTCACTAAAATTCAAAATAGTTACCTCCCTCCCTTCTGTAATGTCAGTTACCTCCCCTTTTAAATTTGAGAAACAGATTGAACAAAAAAAAAATTTTGTACCATGGTTAGTTTGTTTTTGTACAGGAAATTGACTAGATGAACCGAGTAATTAATCAATCGTTAAAAAACATCAGTGTACGTCATACAAAGTTGCGAAGGACATAAAACACATAATTTGATGTTTTTGCTCATCAATGATATCAGATACTGTATATCCTATAATTTTTGTGAACATTTTTCCTGGAGTATGCATTTGACACAATGATTCAATCATGACTAAATGTTCTCGGGCGTTTACATATACAATGTATACAGAACGCGCTGGAAAATTGTAATTATGTATAGTCTGTGGTTATATAGATAAGGTCGCATCTTCGTATTTCCCTAACTAAAAACATATATTTAAAAAATCACGATAACATGAAAATGATATACTGAAGTTAAGCAAATACACCAGTGATGGTAAAATGAGCGAAATTTATTTTACATGCATAAAAAAAAATCACATTTATCAAAACTGCAAATGAACCGTTTGGGATTTTAAATAACAATAAATTAACATCAAATTCTATGACATTTTTTTATTACTTATCAACCATAAAGGAAAACACACCTATAAAACGATTACCGATTGGATAAGCAAGACACATACTACAGGGTAGTTAAGCTGACGTCAATCTGCAAGCGGTAAGTAAAGTAAATCATTTCTAAATACAAAAACAAAATTATTTAAACTTTCAATGTACAGTATTAAGCGTTAAAATTCTCGCAGTATTACTCTCTCGAACTAACCGGTTGAATTTGCAATTTTCTAGATTTTTGAGTTACTGTCGTACCGCAAAAACATGGGAAATAATTTTGTCGCAAGTATTACTATGTATACAGTAGTTTTAAGTCTATTCTTTAACATAAATTGTATACAATCGGACATATTCGGGCCTTTCCGGCAAGCATAGAAAAGTTCTCCGTCTCTTCCGGAAATTCCCGAAGACATCCGACGGTGTTTACAGATTTTCTACATATTTTAATTATATCTATATTCAGGATGGGAATGTAGGCGATAGTTACAAGACTGTAGTATTTTTAGTATATAATATCTAGTATATTGAAAAACATAGAATGTCTACTCAATAATTCCATATCGACAAGCTCTCGATACAACGTAAAAATTATCCAGATTAAAAAACTCCTAACATGTTACAAACAGGAAGTCAACAATTTTGTACAATATTAATATATTAAGACGTATTCTCTATCGTAACACAACATTTTATTTTAGAAAAATAAATGTAAACCATGGGGCAAAAATATCACAGATATCATCACAATACAATTATTCAAGGTTATGATCGGTGTTGTATAGAACTTCAACTGCTTAAAGATAGTACAATAGAGTCGGCGCATAACGCCGGTCTCTCGCAAGTTTACTTCCCTGTATGATGCTAACCATTTGCGCAGCTAGGTATGTTGCGTTGATACTTAGGGAATTGTTTATACGGATGAGAACAAACTACAAATATTCGATGCAGATGATTAAAAGCAAAATATATTTGTTTAAAAACGACAGAAATTCAAATAGCAGTGGCCAAGTTGTGCTATTTGCGAACTTATTTTAAATTTTAGGTAGAAAAAATTGGTAAAGATCGGTACCAAGTAGAAACATGGATCAAACACAGGGATACTTCCTCAAACACTTGTAAAAGTGAATCGAATTGGTTACAATTTGATATTGATTACCATGAGCAAAGTCGTAGATATTTAAGGAATGATACGAAAACATTTTGACCATTTAGCCGGCGGAGTTTTGCACATCAGTGTCTAGGATGTATGTACAATATTCCCATCAAATATCTGTGTAATATTTGTACAATACAGGCTATAAGTCAACCAAACTCCTCCGAAAAATAAGCATACGAGTTAACTGCACATTCTGGTTCATGCCAAAACATAATGCAAGGAAAATAGAATGATCATGTTACATGTAAAATAAGTTTTTGTTTAACTTAATTCTTAATTGGTTCCCAAATGGATCAAATACTATTTCAGAAGTCAATTTTGTTTCGTAGATTCTGATAACGGAAAATTCATGAAATTAATAAATTGCCCTAGGAACAACACCCTTTTACCCAGGTGAAACTTAACACTGTACTGAATATAAATATGTTTCATTATCACACATTGAAAATAGTACACATTTTGTTTGTTTTTCTAGTCAGGAAATAGATATACATAATAAAAAACAACATTTGCATATGACCTTTGACTTGGGAGAGCCAATCCACTACGTTGTCACAATCTAAGTTTATCATCTGAGTTCTCATTGGATGGTATGAACACGCCCATAATACATTCGAAACACATCAACAAATAAACAATGAGTCAATGTGAAAATGCCAAGCAAAATATTTGACAAAATAAATAACACAGTCCAGCGTGCTATACAGTATGAAATATCAGCTTATTAACAAGTGTATAGAGAAAGAATATTCAACGCACTACCTAAAATCTCATCATAACACTGTTATAGTTACCACGTGGTTTTGTAATTAAACATCAGTAACTCTCCTCAAGCATAACAAAAAATAACACCTTGTGTAATATGAAGGGCGTTTTCTAACTGCTGAAAATAGAGCCGATAGTTTCTTTGCTATTGCGTTTATTAATGTGGCTTAGTTAAATAAAAAAAAACACATAAAAGAATAAAAAATAAATATATTAAAGAGGAGAGGAAACACTTTTTGTAGAGAAATACGGATTTAACACAGCCGTCCGACCACACCTAACAGAGCGGATTTTGAAACAGTAAAGCAAGTTTAACTTGATTTGCGATTTCCTTTCTTGATGTTCAGTAAAATTGTAAAAAAACAACAACATATCATCGCAAACTGATCTTGCAAAAAAAATCATATATCATTATTATCATTATCATCATTATGATATATGATGAAATCCAGATTTATCAAAAACATATGGAGTAATGTTTTGATTAGATATATACGGATTCGATTTTACATTTAGCACTTATTGGTATCACAGAAATATCAAACATTCTATCTTTAATATTTAAAAAATTCTTGAAAATTATGCAGCTATCTTTAAAGAAAAATGTAATACCTAAATATTCATATTTACCAATCTTAACAAATATTATTGCATATCAACAAAGTGATAAAAAAAACCTCTGAGACAATTTTTTTTATTTCATCTTTTGTACTAAAACATATCAATGTTTCATGAAAAATCTTCCTGTTAAACCAAATTTTTCCATTGGGAAAAATTGAATACTGGAAAATGTGTGTTGTTTAAATAATCTCATTTTCTATACATGTATTTTTAATATCATTTACATTTAAACTCCCATAATATGTTTTTTTCATTCTTCTGCTTTTTAAAAAAAAAACTTGTCAAAAACTTGTCGTGTCGTAAAAATAGCTTAATAGTTTCATGAATTGCTTTCTTTTTGACACGTTTGTACACAATAGGTCTACCAAGCAATATTACATATGGAATATAGCGAATGTGTAATTCGTAAAACAAAGTTTCCGGATCGGTGATGTTTTTCATGTTATATTATTTCTAAGATAGGGTAACGGTATATCAAACAATCTCAATTGACCATAGAGTTTTTAAAATCAATGTTCCACTTCTAACATGAAAAATTACATATTGCACTTCATGATAAAGAACAAAGCAGTTCAACCTTATCATAATCATACAGAACGTTTAAAACCGAAGGATTGCGACTGAGTATTAAGAAGTGAAATGCGTACGCTGTCAACAAGTCGATGGGTTGAACAATCTTTTCTTTGGTACATTAAAACAAAATCATTTTTTCAACCTCAATTAGCTGACTTATGATTTTTTCATGAATATATATCTTTCTTCAACAGTCAACATTCTTCCAAACGTTACTCTGTTCAGCTCATTATTTGTGATGTTGTGACTGCTAATCGCTGCACTCTTTGACCCTAAGCAGCTCCGTATGGTGCCTTTAATGACCTACTGAAGCTGCTCCACCTCGTTGCTATGTACACGACTCTTGCTTGATGTCGGCCTTCGTATTTTTCCGGGATCCGATTGATTGAAAGGCATTAGGCAAAATGCCTGAAACACAAAGTGTAGAAAATTGTGTAAGAAACAAACATTTTTTTAATATATTGTTAAAAGAATTATTGACATAACTCTTTAATCAGCAGCACAATTTTACCCATAAACAACTAGGGAAGAAACTAAAATAACGATACATTTACATTTCATTCAAAATGTCCATTAATACTAATAGCATACTTTGTATGTGATTCATCAAATGATAGACGCAGGGGCAATAATGCCATTTCGATATTTTTACTCTGACTTGGAGCGTCTTGAAGGACTCATCCGTTATTTCCATTTCCCTTCAATAACGATAACTTAAGTTATAGTATTCAATGTTTATAAATCGTGACCATTACATGTATAGGCTACTCGTGATCATGGCGGTGAAAGTGACCTCTAATCTACCACCACAATTACCCGGCATGCAACAGACCACACCAGCAATGGACGCGTGTTGCTCACACTGGTAACCATGACAACAACATGCATTGACAGGACAGTTCACATGTAACTCATCAAGGTCACCCACAAGATCAAAAACAGACAGACGTAAACAATTGACAGCTACTTGCACCTCAATTCAGCCCATTTCAATGAAACTCAAATTTAAGAGATCAGTCACTTGTGAGCTAGCCTACAGAGAATGATAAATCTCGAGGGATTTTTATACGTTTTCAAAACAGAAGAGAAATTCTTCAATAAAAGCAGAGGTATTATTTATTTGAGGCGGCAGACTATTTCATTCCGACTGGTACTGAATTATTAGCAGATTATTTATATTCAGACATATATTTACAAAATTCAGCCCCATGTTTGCCAATCACTGCTCCATATGGCAAGCAAGTCTAAAGCCAGATCAGCCATTTAAACCTCAGGGTGGCTTAATTTTAGGCAAAGATACTGAACGGAATCAGAACGAGATTGCTACCGCAACAGAGGACCTTTGTTTTCTTCAGATGCCACAGAACATGTAGAGCAAGGAATAGTGAAGAAAACCACACAGGCAACTATCAGGATATGTATATACACATATTTATGGGACAAATTTGGACGGCCGAAGAGTCGTTACAAGTAGCAAACTGTCAAGAGCAAGGACAGTATAAAATATCTGGCATTTTTGAAGATTGTGTCATCTGTAAAAAACAACCAGAATAATTGAATTCCTGGTTGACAATATCTTTGTTGAGTGCGTTTGCAAAATATTTCATATTTTTTTGCCATACCCATCGGGACGAAATGTTACCCATTCCTTGTTTTTAATTTCATGTGAGGCTAAATATTTTTGGGAAAAACGTATCAGCACAGGCGACATCAACTGCTTACATCGATCTTTACTTAGAACATGACCAACAGGGATTAATTACTAAACGGTAAGTTAAGGGGAACGATGCTGTTTTTCCGGCTGCTTACTTTCCCTTTCTTGACAGTAATTTCCCTGTATCCATTACCGAAGGTGTTTACAAGTCAAGTGAGTCGATATTCACGGACTTACCCATAGTATCAAGATGTGTGTGTTATGTTGATTGCAAACAGACAAACTTACAACACAAGGTATAAATAGAAGAGACACTGGTCGTTCTCGTGATAACTTTCTTTGTGAGAATATCGACCGTTTTTATTATGCTCATTAGCGTGTCTTTTGTTTTCGTTGTCACTATCCTGATTTTAATTTTTCTGGAGCACCCGGTCTTTTTCTTTCTGTTCAATGGTCTCCGAGTAAAACCGCATTTTGCTTACATTATGCATTAGTGTTATTAGTTCTGAGGTTATATTACGGTTTTTGCTATCACTTTAGGTGTATCTTGATACTTTACATACATTGTGCACATACGACTCTGCAAATTCATATATATTATAACGACTAGTCTAGCTGCATATACAGTAAAACCTCGAAGTATTGCCCCTAGCTACATTTCAAGGTCCCTTTTTCATTTTGTTTTATACGTCTATCCAAATACATCACCGAACCCCTTTATAACGTCAAAATTGTGCTCGCAAAATGGGGGCATTACACGAGATTTTATTGTACAGGCGTTTGCTATTTAATAATCAGTCATACACCTACACTATGTATACTGCAACATAAAATAAACCGATAGTACATAGGGATGTTGACAATCGTGGCTCTACAACTGTGACATAATGTGTAGTACAAATTTCTGTCCCTTCAATGCAAATATAAACATGAAATACATGTAGTGTAATCAGTAACGATATCGACGAAACGTCTATGATATATTCAATCAACTTTCCATTAAATGAAACTGTAAACCAATTGAAACATATTATTCTATAAACAAATTTCTAAAAGTGCAATATAATTTAATTTCAATGTTTTATTAAAATATAAAAATTATGAATTAACATTAACCTTGCCCTTTACCATCTTGTGACGTAATTATATAAAAACCAAATGCTCTGATTACATAAACATGTGCATTTGGAGACAAATTGCCAAAGGGGAAAAAGAGTTTGTATAAACGAAACGAAAGTAGTAACTGTATTAATATAAGTTAAGTTAAGTTGTTCTAACCAACTAAATAGTACTCAGGATCAAATTGAATATTACGTCTCAAACAGAGCAACTATATTTGCTAAAACAATAACATGCCAATAAATGGTGTCATATTTGAAAATGTTGCAATGATAAATTGCATTCATGTTTGCAATGAGAAGTTTATACAGCATCACAAACAGTTGTTTATCATTTGCTAAAACATACACAGATTCTGTTATATCAAAGTAATTAAAAGATGATATTTAACACTGAGATGAAATATCAGAACAGGATCATAATACCAACCGGAAATGAGATCACATACAAACCTCCAGTAACAATATGTAGAGTTATAAATAAAGCAAAAATGTCCTGCCATCTTATTTGATAAATATATTTTGATATATTAATTAGTAAATCTGTATTTTCTGCAATGTTCAATAGCATTAGATGTTCTTCTGCATGCAGTGTTCACCATTCATCCTCGTCATCATCACCACCATCATGAAGACATGCTAAAAAGCTAATTAATTACAACACCACAACGGTAGAAGCACGGGTGACAGCCAAGCATTATACACTGTTTACACTGTAAAGGCTATGTATATAGATATATACTCAGGTAGGCTTACTTTTCTCATTCCGACTTGAAGAGGTATTGGAACTTTGTGAGAGATTGCATGGCACAAGACAAAAAACCTAAACAGTAGAATGAAAAATATAACAAATTGTAAAGTTATATAGACATGGTCACATGGCACGGCATTTACGGGCAAGTGAACTGTTGATCTATTGTGACAAATCCTGACCTCTCGCAGTAATACTATATCCTTTGTCTTTTTGTTCAATTGAATTCCGACAATGATCTTCATTTTTACAACTTTTCCTTTTATATACCAAAAGATGTTTTTGTCATTTTTTCCAATTAATATATAAATGTCAACATAGGTCAAAGGTCACGTCCTGCACTAGTGTAAACACCGAGCAGCCTTGTCTACATGAAGGTGACAATATATATATATATACGTATATATATGAATATATATTATATGCATTAGGAAAGATAAGTGTATCATGAAGGCACATGTAAATAATTATTTAGTTATCAGGCTAAAAAGTATCTGTTGGGAATCTGATATCAACATCCGATTTAGTCTGTCCTCTTCAAGATAATGTCTTTATGAATAAAACAAAGGAAATACAGATTTTTAAGAAACAGGACAACAAGGTTGGGTCGACAATTTAATTTAGTGTCGGGTATCTAGGGGAAATGTGATCTTTAAGAAATAGAACATTTGAGGTGGGATACAAAAATATAATCGTTATAGAAAGACGAAATCCAACAGGAAATGTGTTATATATGTAAGTGTTTGTTCAAGTCGATATTTTGTCTTAATAATATATGTTTGTGCTGAGAGTTAGCTTTTCTACATTTGGTTGCATACCTTTCTTAAAACTTAACGTGAACAGTAGTAAAAATATTGATTTAGTAAAACCGGTTAAATGGCGAAATATGATATTTAACAAACTATAATTAACGATATTATTGAAAGTGCATGCAAATATGGAAATACAGTTTACATTTGCAAAAATGGGATTTTAGAAGTAGACACATAAAAGTTAAAATGATACATAATAACAACGAAATGAATTCGATCTACCCAGCTTAAGTTCGTTGGTTCAATACCTTTATTGTAATTAATGTATTAAACGTTTCAACATCACAATTTAGGAGGCAATGGTTTTATTGGCTTGAGTCTAAGGTTTTGTTTATTGCATGGCAACAAAAGTTAAGTCTGCCAAATCCAAAAGAGGAGAAAACCCATGCGTTCTTGTTTCAAAATACATGCACTACAGATTGGCCTGAATTCATCTTAATCCATGCGTTGAATTTTGACGTCATTTGCTTACTTCGAAAAATACCCTTTTAACCTTTCATGTGATGACACAAAAGAGTAAATAACTACTAGTTTGTGTTTTTGCTAATTAAAAATACTGATAAGGATTTTATTTGCGATTAGTTTATTGAGAATAGTTTGAAGAAACAAATATAAGATTTATTATATATCCTTAGTTAAATAAGAAATCTTAACAGCCAAATGTATCGTAGTTATATTTTAGATAGTTTTGAATTCAGACAGATAGAACGTTAATATCTAAAACAAATAATTCTGGATTCTGACAGGAAGAAAGTATAGATCCTACATTTATATATAAGTCTTTAGCACATTGTAATTTTACATAAACTGAACAAAAGTTTATATGTCATGACGATCGGTTATGGTAAATTTGTCAGATGAAGACCATTTGCAAGCTATCGATACCCTCCTTAAATACAGATACTCGATACTTTTATCAATGTTTGGCATCAAGAAACAAGTCATAAGGTGAATGTATCGTGCATCAGCATTAAATGCAATTCATACGTCTATTAAAATGACTTCTCGATGAAAGTGTATTAAATGTAAATCAATATTTATTTACGCATTAAAAAATCTGTCAAATTATAATACAAATAAAACATTATGGATTCTTTTAATGATATATTCCATGTATTCAAACGACCATATAATTTATCTTTCATATCACAGGATTTGAAAAATGTTTGATTGTCGTGATGTACTTTATAGGAAAGGATTTGGTTTTTATTATAGGAAATACAAGGGTGAGATTTAAGGATAAAGAAGCGGAAAGTAAAGAAAAGGGTTGATTTTTTTTTATTTGGGATTTGAATCCTTTTTTTGATAGAATACAAAATTCCTTTGTAGGAACAATATTAACCAAATTGCAATGACATCAGATACTACGCTTTTCAATAAACAGGGTTCATAGCCTGTGTATATTGCATGATTTCGAACCAATCGAACATAAATTGTTCGTTGGTTATGATTGTTTGTTTGCAGGGTCTGAATAATTAAATTTGTTATTTACATTATCTTAATTCAACTAAGTGGTCGTTCCATGCATGGTGTAAGAAGGTTACGAAGGATAAATTGTTCATAAATAAACAATTACATTGTGGTGAGCAAGACAAAATCAAATTGGAGTGTAATTTTGTTTTTACTGCAAAGATTTTATTTCACCTTTCTGTAAAATTAACGTTAACATAAATTGAGCTACATAGGGACATCGATAAAATACATGTTTTGAGCAAATGTTGAACAAAAAATAAGCAACCACTTAAAACCCTTTATTTACTCCCTTTTCAAATCTAGAACAATGTTATTGTATTTAAGACTTTTCCTTATAAGAGTTAATGACAGAAAAAACGAGATATTTTGTTAGAAAATGTAATACGTAATTGTTCATGCACTTGTATATATATATATATATTGCTTTGACATCATTATTTACACTCAAATTTCCGATTTTTCTCTTCTTAATAAATGTTTTGAAAGCTACATGAAATATTAAGACCATTTGGTGAACACCGTGAATAACTGAAAGATGTGTGATATGCAAGATGTATGATAATGCTCAAACTTTAGATCAAACGAGTGGATATAAAGAGATAGAGGAACGCCTAACCCATGACCCACACCTTCCCTACCGTGTAACAAATGCAGCCAATAAGAAATTAATAAATATCAATCTGATTATGGGTTTCAATTTCAAAATTTACCTTTTTCCATATACGAAAATTAATGAAAATTTTGATGACGTTCAATAACAAAGACATAAAGAAGAAAAACTGATAGAGGCGTTGTCTGTTGTTCAATCCTATTTATTTATCATCTCTTGAAAAAAATCGATGAAATGAAAGGAATATCGAAGACTGTACTGCTCAATTTCAAATAAATTTGTTTCTACAGGTGACTGATTTTTAGATGATACAACAAGATTTAACTAGATTGATCACCATGAGCTAATTTGAAATACTTTCTTTTACACAAATTCATTTATATTAGAATTGATAAAACTGCACATTGATCTGCATTATCGAAATGTAAAAGAAATTAGTGTTAAAAATAATATTAGGAAAATTTAAGCCCCATAGCATATTATCTATTTAATATACAATGGATACCAAAATAGGAAGGGTCACGGGGAAAGATTTCCGCAATGCATGATAATTGATATAGAAATAAAAAAAAAAATATAAGAAAAAATTCTATTGAAAAAAAAGTGTATTATAAAGTATTATTAAGAATAAAATGCATGATATGTGCAAAAAAAGAAATGGAAAAACAATATTGACAATATGAAGATGAAATATGTGGAAAATGTGACAGTATATCTGAAATGCTGTTACACCGACAATGTTAGAAAACAATTTTCTTAGTTGGATTTGCCCGTCATTACCTGATCTGTTGAGAGGAGGGCGAAGTCCTCAGCAGGATTTGTGATCACATATCGCTTTGATGAGGGGCTAGAATGGGAGTCGCTTGTGTCCCGGAATCGATATAAACCGATGCAGAGTATCCCATGACGCCGTAATGCATTCACGAACAGGTCTCCATAGTGACCATCATCCTGCAAAGATAACCAACGAATGAATTACCAAATCAAAGATTTCAATTATTTGTTAAATTAAGTTCATTTCAATAAAATAATATAGATTGCACAACTCAAAATTTCAATTTATCAATGCATGATACAACCCTCGTATGAAGTTCACTGGTCGGTGTTGAACACCAAATACGTTTAAGCATTATAAATCTGTAGGTGACTATTTTTAGTCTATGGAATGTGTATTGTATGTACCATTGAGCATACAATTCATTTATAAAACAAAGTACTTTTTTAATGCAACGTTTTTAAATCAAATTAAAAGTGTACTTCATCAATCTTTGGTACAATGAAGCTTATGAATAATTTACGAAAATATAAGACTGGTCTCTCAAAGACAATTTTTAATATGATGTTTTCAAATAAGGCCACTACAATCATTCTCATAGTCATAAGTATCATTAAATAAAACAAAATCATATTCACATTTGCAATTCAATGATATACCTGTTTCATTCATCTTGCCATGCATTTTACAAAATAACAGTTGTTCGGGCATTTGAGTATTAAAAAACGAAAATGACAAACAATTCGGGACGTATCCAATGCTAATTCTATAATTTACCGTTAATGATATCCCGTTATTCGTAAACGCAGTGAACAAAAATAAGAAGGAAACTCATGGAAACTGGAGTACCCGGAGAAAACCCACGTGGTCGGGCAGGTGACCCTAAACCTGTTCACGTCTGATCGGGGAATCGAACTCCGGCCGCCTTGGTGAAAGGCAAGTGCGCTATCCACTGCACCACCCGACCACCCGACCACCCGACCACCCATTTGAATTGAAAGTGAGCCTAATTTAGTTAAAATAAGTAAAACGATATTTACAGAATACATTTCTTGGTCGTTTGAGATGCAAGCGAAGAAACAAGCACTGAAGATGGCTAAGTGTGTTTATTCGTTATTACTATAAACTGTATTTTGATAAACTGATGAGTGGACTTCCAGTTGATAGTCAGTTTGGAAACATTGCCATTAAAAGATTTTCGGGCGCTATAATTTAAAAACATTACTGAATAATTTTCTTTGTCTTTGTTAATTAAGCGAAGAATTTTTGACCTATCTCTGAACCACATCTTGATAAACTGATGGATGGACTTCAGGTTTACAGTCTGTTTCAAAGGATTGCTAATACAAACTTTGTTAGGCACTACGATTGTTAAATATAAAAAAATGGGAATTAAACCCGGTCATCTTTGAGAAGGCTAGAACATAATATGTTTTGTTAGTATTTTAATACTTACTCCGTATTTAGCTAGAGGTCCGTCAAACAGCGACACCTGGGCGACCCGACATCGGTCGCGATTGGACAGGACATTTGGAGTACAGTAACCTCCCCTCATTCCTGCCCCTTCCGCTAGGATCTGTTCCAGTTCCGGAGTCGCTCCGCCCGTGATGAGCGTCCGGATCAGAGTCAGGGCATTATCATTGAAGTAACTCTGTAAGAATATCAAAATTAGTTTTACAACAAATAGCAACTTTATCAAATAATTTAACTCAGAAAAAAACCCTCACCGATGGCTTGTAGGTTTGATAATAATTTGGTAATCAATATGTGATACTCTATGTCTATAAATATTGTTTTCTGTATCTACATTCGTTACAAGTTTTAATCTAGAGTGACTGTTGTCATTTACAATACATTCTATATTCAATTATTTTGTCATCGTTAAAAAAAAAACCAGAAGAATTTTTAGATATTTAATTCAACTCTGAAACATAAACTCGAGATTGTTATTTGTGTCGTTATACACCTATTACATCATCAATGTAAATGGTTTTAGGGTGGACAGGTTTTTATGGTTTGCACCAAAGCAACAATTTACATGTTCATGACGTCGTTATCGACACACCGTCGCTATGATGAAATCCTCGAACAAAAGAAAGTCTGCAAAATGCGACAAGGAATTGTGTCAAGTCCTTTCCAATAAGCAACAGTTTCAAAAATGGACCGCTAAACATTTGGAGACAGCGGTCAACATCGCAACAACTTCATTATGGCCTTTTTTTCTTCGTGTAGTTTAAAGTGATTACGTTCATAAGAGGGCGACATTTGTTTGCAATTTAAGTTATAGGCAATCGATATGCTCCTCCTCCTTAACGCAAACCATCATGGAACGAAACTGATTCTGTTGAATTATTAACCTGGTGATAATGCAAATTAACTAGTTATTGATCGATTGTGTAAACAGTAGTCTTACCGTACTCATTAGGGAGTCGAGCACACTGACAGCAAACGCCGTGCCACAGGCGAAAGGTTGCGTCATGTATAATTCTGTGTCGGGGTCATCCTCGTCATCCTGATCGAGGAACTGAACGTTGGAGTCATTCGCTGGAAAACCAGATTTTACACCATTAATTAAAATGTTTAATTTCGTGCCTGGATTAGCAAAACGTTGTGTCAAGCCAAGCAGCGATATTACGACAAACACATATACTGCGCCTTGTTAGGAATTAATAAGAATAATTGGACAATCGTTGTAAAAACATTCTTTATGTTGGCGTTCCTTGTGTAAAAAGCCAATACCGGATGCATCAAACTGCCAAACGCCTAATATAATCTTCAATATGTCAGTATGGGGGATTCATAGAGTCTATCATATGTGGGTATTTGGGATATGTATATCTACCCGAAGGTGTAGAATGTGGATCAGAACCGACTTTTTGTCAAGGTTTTGACACCGAATTTGCACCCTAGAGTAGAGCATTAAAATCTCACGCACATACATAATGACCACCTCATTTTCTCTCTCCTCTTAAATGAAAATTTGGTAAAAACTGCATTGAAATATGCAAATGAAACACTTAATATGGCAACTGTTTAGATAATGTACACATCAACCATTACCCTATCTCGAAAAGAACATGAAATAAAATGCACGGTGTGTAATGGATATACCTTAAAACGATTGTGCTGGTTTACTTCTGGACAGTTAAACGCTGACCTGATCTAGTTTCAACACTTTTGCAGGTATACTTACCCAGTTCAGTGATGAGAGGGACGTTGGAACCACAAACAGATCCTCGTCGAGCCAGCTTTGCTGGACTGCCCATCGGTGAGAAACCAGGAGGAAGAAAACCTGGATACAAAATATACAACATCATTCTACTTACATTGTTCTCCTGAATAAGTATTTGTATAGATACCAGTGCTGATACAACACATATTGGAATTTAATAACAAATAATAAAAATAACTAAATGAATACATTTTTATGCATAATTTATATATTGTGTATTTTTTCTTTCTAATTCAGTATATCATTATGTCCAATAAAAGGATAGTTCATAACATGCATGATATAATAAAGTTGCAAATATAGCACCACCACCACCACCAACAACAATACAATAATAACAGTCAGTGGCTAAATTAGTAAGTTGCTCTTTAAAACTTGACAGAGATTACCGGAACATATCTAAGTCATATGTATCCACGCTATGGTTAAGCTAAATCTTTGAACAGGTCAAGTCTGCTAAATGAGATGTAAAATGTTTAGCACTTTATCGAGGATTTCGTCCTGGTACATGATAAGAAACAGACTTGATTAGATAAGAACAGTCAAAGAGGCTAATGACACATTTAAAATTGAAAACAGAGTCTAAATAGTCCTTCAACACACCTGCACCAGGCTGGGCTGAGGCCTGAAGCAGTCCTATACTGTCATCAAAGGTCATGGCTTTGATGTTTAGTGAACACAGAATAGCCTCTTTGTCCACAAGGTGAGGGTCGTCAAGGTTCTTGTCTTTGGCCGAGACGATCACACACATATCACAGAGGTTAACATTCACTGCCCTCAAATTGGCACGGTTTAAAGGAGACCCCTGCAAGAACGAAAGGACATCATATATATTCATTACTGATGAAAAGTATTGTATACACTAAAACTTATTGAATGACTACTCAATTAAAATTATTAAGACGAAAAAATTATAATGACAATTTAATAAATCGCTCTATTTGTTTAAAAGTGCTTGTTAAAAATCTTAATTTCTGATGAAATGTTAGTTTAAAAAACAGGTATCTAGCTTTACGCAAAGATAGGTCACATTAAAGTTGAAGAATTACTTACGGGCAGAACGGTCAACTTGGGAAAATTCTGTAGTGTTTTCCATTCCCTCCGTAGGTAGTCTAAATTACCTACGATCACAACGTGCTTGAGTTCTGCATAGTGGAAGTTACTGGCTCGCAGAGGCATCACTAGGTTCCTCATACCAATCAGCGGGGAATTTGCGTCCGCAAACAAGCAAACCACCACATGATTACACAGCACTGTCACTGAAGCTTTATCTCGGTCCTACAGGAAAACACAACAAGAGAATATCAAAATTTCAACGAAACCTTAATCAGAGCAGTGAATCGATAAAACAATGGCAAAATATGAACAAATCCAACAGTTACGTGGAGACCCGTGGGTACAAGGAGGATAAGATAAGGGTAAGCGTCTTCTGCTTCTAGGTAAAAGTAATGCCACGCACTCAAAACAAGAACTCGGGTAGTGACAACAAAACCATAAGGCACACGAATGAGAACAATTGAAAACATCGACCTTCACAGCATACAAAAAAGATAGCATACTTCCTTGTGATATCATGACGGCATCCATAAAACTTGCCAAAGCAAACATTAATACAATTGACCACACTGTCAGAGTGACAAACTTTAGTTTAAGACGAAACAGTAATTTTCACTGGTCATGGTGTCATAAAGGTACTTAATAAGCCTTGAAGATCTATACGCTATGCGTCAACTACATTTAACAATCCAAATATTTTCTTGCAGCATTTTCCACCTTTTTCTAAAGGAGAATTAATTACATGGTTGGTTTAACAAGGTAACAAGGCTAAGCATTTACTTTTCAGTTTTCAAAGGGCATTATACAAGAAAAACTTATCCAAAACTTTTTTTTTAAATTAATTATGAGAAATTATCAATTTTCCTAAGGTCAACGACATTTTACTTATTATAAACATTTATTAAGCATAAATGTTACGCTTAAAATATCAAAGTCAAACGTTCATACCATTAAGGCATCTTCCAGAGGTCGAGCTTGACACCAATGGAACATGCCAGTGGAGTCAAACTTGCGTGGTTCCTCGCTGGGACCAGCATCCTTCGGCCAGATAGATTCTTTGCCACTTTCCAGAGGTGGTAGTGTAGCTTTACTGGGGCTTTGAGGCCTGGTAACGCAAAACACAGTTGTCAGTTAGATAGGGATATATGAAAGTTATTCTCTCACATAAATACACTCAATACGGTAAATGCCCTAAAATTTTGCACAACTACTGATTTTTTTTTAGAAAAAAACCTTATAAACTCGTTAAAAAAAGCTACTTATAAAATATCAAAATTTGGAAGACACTTTTATTTTTTTGTTATATACTAAAAGTGTAGAACTCCAAATTCCATATAGAAAGTGGAAATATCAAAATCAAAACATTTAATGTGCTGTCAACGACAGAAAAAAAATGAATACAATTACAAAATATTGGATAAGTAGTGAACTAATTTCAAGACGTTTACCATAATCGTTCTATACAGTGAATGTGCTAGATATAAACGTAGTGAATTTGGTTGTGCTTCATATAATATTCAAGGTTGGGATTTTAAAGACAATATTCTTACTACAGGGTTTAATGACTATAAGTGAAAGCTACGAAATCAGAAAATTCACAATTTCCGCAAGTGCTTTCTTTATGTTCCTACTAGAGTGTTAAAATCAAAGTAAAAGGAATCATTTAAAAGAGCACGTAAACAGATAAAAAGTTGCATATAAACACAATCTATTATTTTAATCATCTATCAATTATCATCTAGTAAATCAAATGAAATAAATATTATGTGTTACAACTGTTACTACTTTTCACAGTTATACTAATTTTGTAAATCGTGAAAGGGAAAAAAAATTGAGTGAAATTTAAAAGGCATGCAGGAAAAATTACTTTGTCTGTTTATGCACAAAATTATGTAAAACATGCATGCTTCTACTAATGCGATTTTAGATACAATCGGAAAGTGCAATAATGTATCATTTATGCAAATAGTTAGCAAGTCTTCTCCATTCAGTGAAAATGATATACAATGTAGAAACAAGCTACATATTCAAAAACTAATAACTGAACGAAAGTTTTTCAAGTCACATTCCGTAATTTTTGTGTTTTAGTGCTTGGCATTCAGTAACGGGAAAGTGCCTATTCAAATAAAGAATAATATATAAACATAACCATAATTCGTCATGCTAGGAAAATATCAAAAATCTTAACATATTTGTTTTTATCAGTATTTTGACAAAACAGTATTACTTCCAAGCTAGGTAGTATTGATTTTGATGTGATTTTTAGTCTTGGTCAAAAGGGGTGAAAGCTCTTAAGTAATTAAGAATCATAAAATGATTCTTAAACTAATTTCATGGAATTCAAAATTGTCAAAGTTAAATTGCAAAACTCAACAAATAAGGAGTTTTTATCTGAGAAACCAATCGCACTTATTTTCCTTAATTTGTTTACAAATTATATAAATGTTTATAAATTTTACCAGTAATTTATTTTACTAGTTTTCGATCACAATTTTACTCACTAAATGACAATATGATTTTTTATTTCAAAAAACAAAGGCATGCAAGGAAAATAATCCGCTTTAAAATGCATTCTGTTGTGAAGGAGGTTAAAAAATTCATTTTAAATTATTTTTGTTTCAAAATAAATAATTTAACGTTAGTCTTCCTTTTAAATTCATATAGGGAAATCCAGATCACTCTTGTATTTTATACTATTGAATTTTATAAAAAAAAAGTTTCTCTCTTTAGAACGGTTAAATATAACCAAATATTACTGCTGATACTATTTTATCTTCGTATGTTTGCCTTAAATAGTTTATTTTTATTGTTACGCCTCAAAAGAACGCATGAATTAGCCAACTACAACTACATTTGTAATCATATGTGCTATTTTTAAAAAAATATAAATATTCTATTGCATGGCTAAAACATGCAAGTAACTTAACCAGTAATATTCCTAGACCGTTATCAGTGAATGTAATGACATTTGATATGAAAAGATGAGATGCATGCAAGATGTCAATAACAAAGACGAAGATAGACTTAAAGGAAACCTGTACACCTTGTTGTGATATAATGAGTTTTCACATTTGATAACAGTTTATCTCGACATATAACAGTTTATCTCGACATATAACAGTTTATCTCGACATATAACAGTTTTCTTTCTCATACCCTTAACAGGTTTACGGTTTTTAATTCGTATGATGTTTTTGCCTGATTTCTGCTTTAATAACATCCAATTTAAACGACATATCAATAAAATGACAAAATTAATAACATAATGACGTGCGAAATAGTACCGGCATTTAATACAGTCGAGATGACCTGTTTATGGGTACTTCGAAGAAAACTTCGTCTTGATACAGGAAAAAATATTCTATGTTTCAGATTCAACATTTCACACCAAAGACTCAAGTGTTCCGTCAATGTGGTCCTTATCCCTTTTAAATTCATTGAATTTTTTTCCGAACCCGAAAAAAACCCATTAAAAAACATAATGGGTCTGGTAAAATTGGCAACTAGTATGATTAAATTGGCAAAACATTGTCCGGCTGAATGGTCAAACAATATTCTTAGAAAATTGTAATAGTGTTGAAATACAGAATCTGCTTCATAGAATTGATTACTGTCTGTTCTTAGCAGACGAGAATTAGGAGATGAAAAGACAGTATTATTTGCATTGTGCATGTGACAAGGACTGGACAGCTCAATTGTCCAGTCAAACTGGACAAAGGGCGTGGATATCTTACTCTTTTGTCTTTGACCAGAGTGTCGCTAAAGCCCTGTCGGTTCAAGGTACAACAGAATGTTTAGCATTAATCAACCATAATAATACAATATTAATATTCTACATTAATATCTGCACTGTAAATAAAAATATCGTATGCAATATAAGAACTACTTGTCTTGTCTTTTCTGGAGAATGTTGCATGAAGACAAGTAAACAAGATTTCGCCTAGTAATATTTTAATAGCAAAGTGTAGCTTATCTACAGTAGATGTTCATGTAGACAAAGCACGAAAGAAGCAAGATAGGAGCATTTTAAAAATCTCTTGACGTTATATAAGGAGACGTTACTATAACGATCATTTCATTGCCTGCAAAATATCGTATCACATAACATTATCAACTCTCTTACTAGAGCAATTGACATGCATTCAAATGTTTCGCTTAATTCCTTACAATCAAAAACATACAACCTGATACCTATCGACATTATAAAGTTTAATAATATTTAACAGATAATCCATAATTGTTTTGCTAGCACTTATGACGGCAGGTCCAGTTTGTCCTTTTTTTTTTAATCCTTTGGCTTAATTATGGCATTCCCATTTAACAGGTAAACACTTTTTTGAAATGGTGTTAAAATGATGGATTTATCCCGGGGGTATAACATTAGGGGATCAATAATCAGTTAATGTAGTTATTCCTCCTCAACAAACCTTCAGAACAAAGTTAAAGTCGTTTCACGCATCAGTATAGTTAATTATCAACCGGTATGGTTTCTATTGATACCTCAGTTATGATATATTTCAGTAATGTTTGTTGCTGTTTTCCGTATCTACTTAAGTCTATTGCCTAGTGACTACGGAGGACATACATAATACATACACAATTAATGTTGATCACTATAATATAATCATATAAGATTTTTGAAATCAATCAAACATAAGAGAAAAAATTAGTAAAGAGTTGATCGTTCTTATCCAATAATATACCCAGAAACAACTACTAATAATAATTACTAGTACATGTACGGACAAAATATTTATCATATGTTCCTTAATTATTTATTATTTGTTTGTTTTCACAATATAATCATATGCCATGCATACGTCATGCTTTGTTAAACGTTTCTATAGTTTTATGTACAGTAACTACGATGGATATATAACTATATTCATAATATCACATACATTATTCCGTCTTTACGCATTGCAGAGTTATCTTCTCTTGGGAGCAGGTATTGATTGTTACGTCATTGGTTTGTGTGAGAAAATTACGTTGATTTCTCAAAAATTGATGACGTTACTCTCACAAACAAGTGACGTCACAATCAATACCTGCTCACAAGAGAAGATAACTCTGCAATATGCAAAGACGGAATACGGAAAACACGATAAATTCATTTGAAAAAAAATCCAGATGTCCTTGGAAAAATATATGATACTTCAACTTGATGCAGCACACATATATGTTGAGTAAGTAAAACGTTTCACCAAACCGGAAATAGAAGCCTTCAGTAACCTTCTCAATTAATCAAAGTAATAAAATGCTGTCCCCTATATATTTGTTCAGTGACTTAACTTACAAAAAGTTTGGATACTGTTTTTCTGAATAGAAATTAAAATTCATTTTATTTTGGACCTTACATATAACCTCATTTATACAATTAAAGTTCCAATGCTTTCCCCTGCCAACTATTATGCTGTTATGATCTAAATTACCAAAATGACTTAAATACCTCATTTTCTCACTGTACCCTAAATACTTTATAATTGATTTGACTTAATTTAGCAAAATCTCCCTTTCGGTCTAATAATTGTTAATTTATTTTTGGTTTCCTATTTACTTTTATGCATATGCTCACTAAATAATTCATAGATGTATCTAGTAAACCTCATGGCAACTTCATTAACCTTTATATTAGTGGCACTACGTTCCCCATCACCAGTGTCTACTAAATTAATCCATGCACCATTGATCGGGATAATGAAAGAAACACTATACCTACCCACCAAAGCTGCATACAATTTAGAATGCCGAATACATATGAAGCCGTTTTGTTGCTTTGACTTGCATTTTCATCTTCAAAGATTCTCTTCATGAGACATACATTAAGATAAAAAGACGGCATTGACATAAACACGTTAAACAGCCCCGTGTGTCTGATCTGTGTAACTTACCATTTCTAACCAACCCAATTTTATTAATGAATTTTTTGACTCAAACAATGCATTTCCATCTTTGTATGTATTAGTACAAGTGTGTGATAGTGTGTAGTGTTCCATTTGATTAGAGCGACAGCAGTTTGGTAGGTAATGAGTAGTGAATACAGAGAGAAGTGATTTTCAGACTATCAACTCAGTTTAAGATATATATTTCTCAATACCCGTTTAGGTCACTCTTTTTCCTTTTCTTTATTCCCTTTTCTTTTCTAAAACAACAACATCCAGGTAATATTAATTTAGCCTTAAGATTATCTTAAATCAAGGTTTGGATTTTTGTTCTATATAAACTCATTGAACTTAAAAATATTTTCGAATATTATTTGTACCATGATCAAAAACCAAAGGACAGCACACCGCAAATTACTATCACTACACCACGGTAAAACTCATTTCTAAGCGAAACTTATATATATTTAAATATATCTACAGCCATAAGAATTCAATCGATTTTCAAATAATCGACACATCCATAAGCTTACAACACAGCTATGGAAGCAGATATGAAATATAATATTTGCCATACTGTTTAATAAATACTAATTATGACAATAGTTAATCCGGCATTTCAAATGACACTTAACGATGCTAATGAGTTTGACAGTACGATAAATTTCACTGATATATACACTATATATCTGTGAGGCAGACTGAGCATACTGGGTCAATGACAGCTGATCGATCTGTATGCTTTTCTTGCCTTAAACAATTAAACGAGTTGTCTCCCCTATAATAAATTTCTGCAATGCCTATATATCAAGCTGACATCGACCACACGGCTACCTTAAAACAACACAACACATGTTTTGTTTCCTATGTGCTAGCATATAGCGTCAATGTCATCCGATAAGTAACTAATAGTATATAATGATAACAACACAAAGGTCTTGGATCCAGAAAGATGAATGTAAGTTACACATAGGTGATTTCACCTTTAATGTCTGTGTGGGTTTTTCTTTTTAAAGAAACAGCGTTCCGAAAGTAAATGACACTGCTTCATATATCTATTTTTTTCATTCTATGACTAATCAACTAAGTAAAATAGTTTCAAGATCCTTATAGCCGAAATCGAATAACTGTTTACTCCGATACAGTATCCTTGGGTATACATTTTAGAGAATATCAATATGCATTTTATTTTGAAATCCATTTTTAAAAATGACTAGTATCCAAACTTGAAGTGAAGAATAGTTTTAGATAAAACTTCACTGTTATAGCCATCAAAGGAAGTCAAGTATAGAATAGATGACTGTCTACACTGGTGACTAGAAAAGGAGTGAAATACTCAGAAGAGGGTTACATAATCTGGAAGGGGGTAAAATAAAAAGACAGGAGTAAAATAACCTAAAAAGGAATAAACGAATCTGGGAAGGAGTTATCTTTTACCATGTATGTTTTATTTTACTCCTGGAATAGTTATTGACCCCCTGACAATTTAAAGTACTCCCGATTGTTTAAGTTTACTCCTGTCTGATTTATTTAACTCCTATTTTTTATTGTTGCTCTCAGGGCAAATCCCCATTCATAACCATCATCAGTCATGCTAGGGTGACCACCTGTGGTACACAGCAGAGCCAGTTTACCTGTGTTTTGGTCATGGTCCTTTCCAGATCATTTTACCATATGCTGAGCATTTTACTTCTATTCCAGTCACCAGTGCTATTTAAAATCATTGAGCAGTGTTTAAGCAAAACGAAGAATACATATCTGGATCCAATAACATTTGTTTGTCTATGCAAATAAAAGTACATGAACAATAATGCACACAATCAATATATATATATATAGAATAAAAACAAATTTTTCAGATCGTCCATATATATATATACATATATAATTTTTGACTTGTTACATGCCATTAGTATCAACATAATTAAGATTCGTCTCTGATCCTTGTGCAATCCGGTTCCAAAAAAGAATATATGTATATACTTCAAGATGTATATTATACCGAAATACATATTAAGAAATTTCATTCTCATTATGAACTCCTATCCTAATAAGAAATAATTTCCTTTTCCGACAATAGTACTCATTATATAATATTTAGTTTTCTACTTTTTTACATAATTTAACTGAGACAATTTCCTCTTCTGGATATTTTATAGATTTTTATATTGTCCATCTGGTTTAGTATCAAACAAACTGTATATTGCATGTACCAACGCAGATTAGTTTTCAAAAAGGATCAATCAAAAATGCTGCCAGGCCTTAACATTTCTGAATACTTTCTAAATTTAACAGATTGTATAGGACTTACATGTACACTCCGTGAAAAGAGGAAAATATAAGTATTTATCAGATGTAAATACTTTAATATCAACTCCGTTTTAACAATCAACATTTCTGATTGATTTATATCTCAGATTTGAGAGAAAGTTAAACGAATTCTAGTTTTCAAGAATTACAAGAAAAAAGTTTTAATGGAGAAAAAAAGTGATGCTTATCTTGATTACATTTTGGGATATTCTTACGAATATTTGAAATATTGATTTGGTGTTTCATTAAGAAAGTACAGAGTTGTAAATCCCATACATTTTTTCTCATTTTCAAATTGAAAACAAAAAACTGTAACTGACGGTCATGCAGATAATGGAAGACTTTTTACATAGCAAGTCTCGGCCCTTTTAAGGAGGTGCTTTTTGTAGATTGCTTCTCTCCTCTAGAAAAGGAGAATGAAAATAAATTCATAACTTTCTCTTCTACCACTTTTCCTTCATCAACACTGAAAAGATGTCCAAAGAATTGTGGGAAAATGTACGTCTGTCATATCACCTGGTTTACCTCTTTTGTTCCAGTAGGAAGAAAATCAGTATGGTAATTTATGTTCTCACGTTTTAGATTTTCTTTCAACTATTAAATAAAATAGTCCCATTTTGTTAAAACAGATGTTCTATTTACTAAACGATGCAAAGGTCTTTGAACTTTGATGAGTCGTGCAGTATCGTATTCGTAATTTATTTTTTAGATCTGTTTGTGACCTGGTTCCATCAATCATACTTTTGGAAGTTATACATTGGCTGGTAAAATCAATTTCATATGTATTTTACTTGAACAAATTAACAAAATTCATCGCAAAATTCATTTTGAATTGACTGCATCTGTTGACGAATTTCGCACAAAGCGTTCATCAAACTTCAAGGATGTCATGACAAAATTTCTAATTACATCAACTATTTCTGATATTCATCGACGCCGTGCTGTTAAAAGATAATTATGAATGCATTTTTTTTTTAAATTTTCCATTAAACCATTTTCCGAGATTTCTTTTACTCTGCAATTATGAGTACATCTCGTGAAGACAATAGCTTGATTTATTTGTTGTATGATCAAAACAATTCTGCTGTAAACGTTAAGTTTGTTGAAACACAATAAAGTAGACACTGTTCATGTAACACTGTTTAAATTGTATTCAAATCATGCTTCAAACCACATGCACTATCGCCTCAATCAAGATTAAAATCACTCAAAAACAGTGTCTACTGACTTGTGTCATAAGTATCAAAAACATCTTTTCTACATGAATTGTTCTTTGAAAATTATGTTAAAACATAATACGTACATGTAGTATTCCGTCTTTGCGTATTGCAGAGTTATCTTCTCTTGTGAGCAGGTATTGGTTGAAACGTCATTGGTTTGTGTGAGAAAATTACGTCGTTTTCTAAAAATTGATGACGTTACTCTCAGAAACAAATGACGTAACAATCAATACCTCCTCACGAGAGCAGATAACTCTGCAATACAAAAAGACGGAATATCGATAAGGAATGGTGGCTTCCGTTTGCATTTTAGTTACTTTTTGTGATTTGATCATTTTCGAGTCGTTACCATCCAATTCATCTGTTCAATTTATCCACGTATCATATAAAAGTAATCGCTCATTTTTATTCAATGTGCATATCTTAATATTTGTCTCAAATATAAGTACTTAAATATAGAACAAAATATATTATTTGTGGGCTTGGGAATGTTATAAGCCTGCTTTGCTTGTATTTATAGAACATTGATAATATTTAGTAATAGGATATATAGTACGTTTAGCTTTTAAATAAACAGTTCTATTTTTTTGTTGTTCTGGCAATTGATCTTAAATTGAATGATAACAAATCAAAGCCATCTCATCAATGGAATTAAGACATTTATTTCTGACAATTGAACTGGAATTGAATAATAAGACATTTAAGTCATCTTATCACTGCAATTGAATAATAAGACATTTAACTCATCTTATCACTGCAATTTAGACATGTTGTCTTAATGAAGACACAATAACACATTCAAGTACTAAATTCATAATTGGTACAAGACCAATGATGGACGTTTAATTCGAGTGTACAGTAAAATTCATATAGGATTTTTCGAAGTCCATACAAGTAAATCAGGCTTTGAGCATTGGAGCCCAAAACAATCAAGTCACTTCTTGATATGTCTAAATTGTACACAAAAGAAGTAATTTGATTTACAAAGGAAGTTGCAAGGGATTCACATACAAACAGAGGTCAGAAAGTATCAAATGTATCCAATAGGAGGACAATTAATTATACAACATCACTCACAGAGGGCGCTGACATGTTGACAGGAATGTTGGGGGCGGGGCTAAGTTTAGCTTTTTATACACTTACCCAGCAGCAACGGATGCGGCACCACCACCGCCTCCAACACCTCCCCCTGCAGCCGAGCCTCCTCCCTCACCGAGTTTGTTCTTGAATGTATTTGACATTTTTCGGTCTTTCTGAGTAAGCATTGGATTAGCGGCTGTTTACAAAAAGGTTAATAGTCAATACATGCTTTATACGGAGTTTTAATTCAACAGCACATTCATGAACTGAAAGACTGGAAATAACTTATCCATAAGAAAGCCTTTCTCCAATTTTCAGCAAAATACTGAAAAACGTTCAACTGAAACAAGTTAACTTCTAAGGAAAGCGATCTTTCTGAGAAAAATGAAAAAATAAATGTCCGTTAAAACATATTATAATAGTGTGTCCTGCTAATTAAGATTCCTACAATATAATTCCATGAAAGGAAAAATACATACAATATAGCTAAACTAATGGCAATATCACTATAAGGTTAAACGTGAATGTCTGTTATTCGAAACAGAGAATTTAAGAGTATGCAAGTATATACATAATATATATTATATAGCTTATTTTACTTACAAACTAGCATAGAAGTAAATAAAGCATTATAGCAACAATCGAAAAATGAAAACTATCTATAAGATGATTAGTAAAACCCTGCTTGAAAGTTAAAAAAAAAAAGATAAGAATTAAAAACAGTAGACCTTATTTTTTTCTGCTGATGATAACTTATATAAAACAAAATTAAAAACACAAAATTTAAGTATACAGTAGGTATTGTACTGTTTGTACTCTCATCAATTAAAACTGCACCAGTGGCCCTAGAATATTTATTATTATGCAAAAGTTTAGTTTTTGGCATTTTATATTATATTCTTTTTACCATGCACAAATTTTGATGTCAGGAGACATAAAAAATCATTTCAAAATATCAACACACAAGCACTTCATTGCCATAAAATTGAGACGTCGTCGACCTGTTGACAGCATTAAAATACATGCTAACGCAATTGCTGGCTTTCGTCGTTGGTGTTTATGTTTCTGTAGAACTTGATGATTAGTTATGATAATGGAATCAATGGCAGTGTTTGATATGCAGCACATTTCTTCTCAAAATTGCAAAACTTGTACGAGGAATATGTATGCTAAACGGCAAAACCGGAGGTCGGGTTTTCTTTTTCCTTTTGTCTATTGTCATCTGCTGACTTTGATGTAATGAACTTCTCGCTCAATCAAGTTTAAAATATTTAGCATTAAAATGAAATTCAGAGAAGCAGTATGGCGATCCTACGTATGCAACTACATAAAGTATTATAGCCAATACAAATGAAACAATGAAAGTATCTTTTTTTGTTTCTATTTTGCATAATGATGAAATCGTATTGAAGCATTCTACTTCAAACATCTTTTTGGTCATGCGATGTTTTTGCCATGATACATGTCTTTAGCCATGCAATTCACACAAAATGTATCTTATTGTGATTTTTTCAATTTCAATTTCTCACGAAAATATTTTTTCATATATTAGTAGGACTAGAAGGGATACATTGTATATGTGATTCTAGCTAAGCTACCAGGCAACATAAGTACACCATTAATGCATGTTACATTTATTATTCCAGACATTATTCCGGGAAGAAAATGAAGAAGTATTGTTTCTTGTGACATTAACAGAAATAAAAATACGTGACGAAATTAAAATTTAAATATATGTTTTTGCAGTTGAAATTTTGTGTGTTAATATGTTTATATATATTTCATATCTTAAAAATATGTGATGAAAATAAATTTTGAAACAAAAAACCCTTCCATGTTAATAATATGAATATATGGTAAAATTTTGATTATTTCAGTGTTAATACGTAGCTATTTCAAATCATCCAAGAAAATGCATTTCCTTACAGCGATGTACTATTTTCAAACGGAAACCAATTATACTGACATATCTAAATACTTACGCTCGAATTCAGGTGTACCTGTAGCATGGTAGATAGCCCGTTATTTTCTATCGTACACAGGTAAGCAAGAGATAAAGTTGTATTTCTCATACAGAGCAATGTAGCTACTTAACAACGTTTCTTTGTAGAGAGAAAGCAATAGTTTTGCTTCACAAAAAAAGATGATATCTTTAAAAAAAGAATACTATATTACTCGATTCTGTAGTATATTATAATGACACTTAAACGTTAAAGATGAAATGATGAAAACATATTTCAAATCCTTTACAAAATGCACAGAGTAAATATACGTTAGGTTATCCACCATTACTTAAACATGAATATATATATATATATATATACATGATGTTTACATGTTGCTATAAATATAACATTTAATAAGATGTATACCTTCGTTCAACATAGCATCCCATGCACAATGTGACAGTATACCTTCAAGCAGTTCGGAAAGATATTCATTCAACTTATACCATGCTTAAACGCATCCCACACTGTTCTCTTGTTATCATATACAGTAACAAAAGTATCGTACAAAAACTTCATTTCTTATCACAAGGTATTCTTACAGGATTGTCCGATAAGAAGTGAGGATTAACCCTCGGTATTTGCATCATCGGAAACATTTTTTCTTAATTTTGCCATTTCATATCTGAATAAAATTAACATTTCTCTCTCATGTTCAGCTTTTTTTCAGTTTTCATATTTCGCATGACAATATTAATCTCAGTTTGATAAAGATATGAGCTTCCTGTCCTCAATTGTATTAGATATGCATCGAGTTAAATGGGTATCATCCTTACAAATCTTAAGGGGTTTTGAATTTGATATTTAATTATGTTTCTGTACCATACATGGTTTGTAATAAGGATATGATAACAAGTAGAACTTGTATGCATTTTAATGAGTCAGATTTTCGATTGAGTTGTTAAAGCAATTACAAATCTTACTTAAATAGTTCGAACTCTTCGATTTTCGATTTGTATAAGTCACTAAGAACGTTACTTTACTCTTTTGTATTCATTTTGTTTTAAATGTATGGTTAGCTATTAACATTAAAAAAACCGGACTCATCATTTTCTTCTTTAAACCTTAACCAAAGAGCCTACTGTATACCAGGGAACATTGAAGTGAAATATCCGCCCTTCACCAGAAAAATCCATACTCGCCAAAAGTTAATTTTGCCCTTCACAGCAGAAATACTCTATCAAGCATGAGTATGAATATTCGAAATGAGGATGAATTTACCAGCACAACGATGAGCGAGAACGGCAAATGTTTCCCAGTATACAATATAACCAATCTTATCTTGAAGCAAATATTCAAACTGGAGACGGTCACGCTCATGTAAGCAGCTTTGTAACGACGAGTGAATATCAGGCATTAGTAAACTAAGTTGTATAGTGTTATACCAAATAAGGTAAATAATATTCAATAGCATATGCAAAATATGCCGTAACAGTACACAGTCATAATTAAAATGTGAACCCCTCCCCCC